ATTCATCAATGACTGGAAACCCCTTATGGACTTTTTGCATAAAAAGGAAAATGATTTTGTGACTTCTGGTTTTGATGACTAGAAAGAATGGGTTATAGAAAAAGGGAATGATGATGTAATCTTAGAGAGAGAGGTTTGATTAGAATTGTACGTATAACTGCTGAAAGGAAGATCGGAAGCCATTTATTTATCTGTGTTTTCTGTTCTTTTACTCTTGACCAACAAATATCCTGGGTGTAAAGATACAGATTATATGCAAATGTTACTTATAGATGAACAGCCAATTGTTACAGAGCAGGTAGCCAGGTTCTGCACAGCTGCAATGAAGATCCGTCAGATTATGATTGGAAAATTGCAGTAACGTAACCTTTGCAATAATTTTAAGTTGCATATATATTATATTTTACATATTATATTTACTTTTACTCTTATATATGCTTATATTCAACAAAATACTAGTCATTATAATATAAATTAATAAGATTATATTTAATTTTGATTAAGGAGCTCATTTAGATTGTGATTTAAATGTATTTTAATACTGATTGGAACTTGTAATTTCAAATCTATTTTATTTTAGATGGTTTATTATTTTTAAGACTCAATGTGTATACTTTTATAGAATTGCTGGTTGTACTGGTCAGAGACCATAAGAAATGAAATGAAATGAAATGAAATGTTCTTGTTTTTTTAAGATATCCTGTTAGGCCACAAGGGAAATCTTTAGAAACACACTGGTGTTTTTCTTTTTTAAAAAAATCTTTGAGTGTCACTCATACACAGCATAGACAATTCTGAATTAATTGGAGCTATATGATTTCATATAAGGCTCTTTCAATGAAGTCCTGTCCACAGACATCAGCATTTTCTTATTATGCTGAATAGGACTAACAGGACTTCAGCACTTATTATGCTGAATAAGAAAGAAAGCAACTTCTTTTGGTGAATAGTACTCCTCCTCCCTCCATTTTAGGAAGTGTACATTATCAAAATGTTGTGTCCTTAGCACTTTGTAGTTCCCTTGTGCTTTAAATCTGGGTGATCGGCATAAAAGAAGTCATTTGTTCACTCATTCAAGCAGAAGATGAGGAGCACTTTCAGTTGCCTTATTCTGGGTGAGTAGGGAATTCCTTGGTCAACAAACCAAGAAAGGTGAGAAACAATAGCTTAATGGTAGAAGAGAGATATCGCAGGTAGAAAATCCCAGCCTCCATCTCTGATATCTCCAGTTAAAAGGCACAAATGGCAGAATGATTTTCTGCCTCAGATTTTTGAGAATTGCTGCTGAAGTAGACACGATGCTCTTAGAAAGGCAAAGAATTTGAGCTGATAGACCATGATAGTGTGGCTTCTGATGGCAGAATTAAATGACTCCTAGGAAATCTATTCTTTTCAGACAGCATCGAAGGAAGGATGGAGAGAGAAAGGGAGCGAGAATTGCTGCTGAAGTAGACACGATGCTCTTAGAAAGGCAAAGAATTTGAGCTGATAGACCATGATAGTGTGGCTTCTGATGGCAGAATTAAATGACTCCTAGGAAATCTATTCTTTTCAGACAGCATCGAAGGAAGGATGGAGAGAGAAAGGGAGCAACAAAAAGTGTAGGGAGACTGGAGGGAGACGCAGATTATCCTTAAAATCTCCAAGAATGCTACTGCTAAGTAAAATTGTAATACTTTGTTTTGTTTGTCACAGTTGAGATATGTAATATTATAGTCCAGCTTTATACCTGAAAATGAGATACAGAATAATGGGTGACCCAGTTATTCTTGTATTATTACTCAAGTTTAGAATAACTTTTTGTTCCTGCTAGAATTGATTCTAAATTCTTATATGAAAATTCAGGTTCTGTCCACACTCAACTTTGGAATGAGAAAAACAGATGCAGCCAATCAGTTCATTCAGATCTCAGCAATTAGTATCTGAAGAACATTTTGCAAGTTCCCTTGAAATATAATGAATCATGGAAAACAGGAGGATTTTGTCACAGCCTCTTGTGCCTGCTATTTGAAACCCTCTAATTTTTAAAGGAGAAATTACCATGCATATAAGAAATCAGTATATTTTATTGAAGTGCTGATATGAATTGTGGTGTACAGTCAGAGTCTCCTCATTCTGACACAATAATCTGCTCCATGAATCATTTTGCCTAAGATTTTAAAATACAATGTATTTTAAAGACATCCTATATAATGTAAGCTTATATTTCATTTCTTCTAGGTATTGGATTGGCAATACTCTATGCAGATGGACAAGGTAGAACTTACGTATCTTCTGGGGAATAGAATAAAGGGGTGCTATTAAATAGAGTTAAGGGGTGCTACCTGTGTTTTGAAAGTCAACTCATCTTTGTCTTTTTTGCAATGAACTTCAGTTTCCATCATGGTGTCTACCTATAAGACTCAAACTGGGCAGCTTTGTCAAAATTGGAGGTAAAGGCCACTTCAGATATTTGTCCTCGGGATAAGATCTTACATTTGGCTAGGAAGAGAAATGGGCTAGGAGGTTGAACACGGCATCCAGCATTTAATAGAAGATAGATGTGTGATCCAGAAACAGATGGAGCAGAAAAAAGTAAGGATGGAAACAAAGAAGAACTCAGAGAAACTGAATGTATATTTGTACATATAGTGGCAGCTTAGAGCCCCACTATAGTTATGTAGTATAACTTAATTAATTCAACCTGCAATTCATTAACCATCTCCAACAAATATAGCCAAGTACATCTACAAAAAGGGAAATATCTGAAGACACCTTTTGAGAGAGATACGGCTACAGTGATGCAAATTTTCTAACATTTAGTTCATATGGTACAGAATAGTAGGGTTGTAAGGGACCTCAGAGATTATCTCATCTTGCTTTGTGCAAGATCTGCTAAAGCATTTTGGGCAGTTGTCTATCCAGAGATTGACTGTAAAGGTGAAGTGGAAGATATGTAGTTTCAGAGTTGCAAGATTCTGTTACTGTAACCTTATAATAAAAGTAGTGTACGGTTGATGCTTCTTGTCTGAACTATCTCTAAGGGCTGACACCTAGTATAGATATCAAGCTCAGAGATCTTTAATTCCCTGGGTCTTCCTTTCTCCCATTTTAAAATTTATTTATTTATTTATATAATTTAAATAGTGGCCCATTTCACAACAGTGACTCTGGGTGGCTTATAAAGATTTATCCAACAATTGCAAACAATAACCCATGACACCTCAGGTAAACCATATGTCCCAATCATATAATCACATCAACAGCAGTGCTTGTCTAACCTCTTTGCCCAAATGCCTGGGGAAAGAATCAGGTCTTCAGAGCCTTACAAAAAGCTAACATGATCAGGGCCATCTGGATCTCTGAGGGGTCGCTGTTACACAGTCATGCTGTCATACAGAAGGTATAACTCCTGGGTCCAACAAGATGACATTATTTAATAGAGGAGACCTGTAGCATGCCCTCTCTGCTAAATCTGGGGGAGGGGGGTAAACAGGAAAATGGGAGAAAGGGGTCCTGCAGGTAGCCTGGTTCTATGGCATGTAGGGCTTTATAGGTTAAAACCAGCATCTTGAATTGCAGATAAGGATGACATACCATACTCAGTTCAATCTGAGAAATTTAGTAGCATGGTATGTATTATCAATACATCCACTGCTCCTGGAACTTATTCTTTTGTTGGTTGCTATCCCTCTCCCCCTCCTCAAAAAAGCAGAAAAGGCAGCACTGAGAATTAAGAGAAGTTTCCTTGCTTTCCAGCATCCTTGCTTATTGTTTGAAATTTCATTTAATACATGCAACTACAGCATGAATCAGATCACAAAAAAGAATTATTATGTGCTTTTATCAAGGCACTATAAATGCATTGTATGGAGAGAGAAGTATCTGTGAGGTTGAGAAATTAAAAGTTGTGGCAAGCTTGACATGTTTAATACTCCGTTCCAAATAAAACAGAAATCTGACAAATTCCTAATGTTTAAGTTGCCCAGAGAAATTCTGATGGAGAGAA